GCGCAGGGGTCCCCAGGCTCCGGCGCTGGAGGCCTTGCGGTCGAGGCAGAGGCGTATCTGCTCCTCCAGCTGCTGGTTCAGTTGTTCCAGCGCTCTCACTTTGTCGCGGTACTCCATCAGGCAGCTGTTCAGTCCAGCTGCCGCCGCCCCGTGAGGCCCAGCCCGCTCGCCGGCACGGGGCAGAACCGGCGCTGCGCTGCTCCTCATCCCCTGCAGGAAGACGCTGCTGATGCCCAGAGCCCTGCGGGACACCCGGGTCCCCAGGTTGGAGGCCCCGCAGGCTGGAGGGGCGGAGCCCACAAAGACGCCACGGGGGGCGGCCGTACCGGGCGCTCCGATCCTCCCGCAGGAGGAGGCCGGACGCTCGGCGGACGGCTGTCCCAGGAAGGATGAGCGGCGTCGGGGCAGAGGCATGACGCTCAGCAGCTCCCAGTGTCAAACCGCTCAGAGCCGCTCGGCGCCGGGATTTATGGGAGGACGGAGTTCTGGAAACATGGCCGCCTTTGTTCAGAGCGTGTTTGTAGTGCCGCGGACACGAGGCCTTTGTCCTCATGGAAACACGGAGTCAGATTTCAGCTGCATCAGCAGGGAGGGGGGGTCAGGAAGAGTCCTGAAGCACACAGAGGTCACCTGACCTGCACACGCTCAGTAGAGGTTCAACACACTGAACACTGAAACACACACATCTGTGACTGCATACGTGCATTGATCATCAATACTGATCACATCATGTAGTGCGATGTATTCAGATTACTGTGACTCTGGTCCTCACAGAGGCAGAAGTCCACGCTCAGGTTGTTCCAACGACCACGCAGTTTTATTTGAGCGACAACGTGACAACAAGTCATCGTGATTCAGCACAAACAGCTGTTTCTCTGTGTTTCCATGGAAACTCCTGGATGCAGGCAGGCATGGATTCTTTGTTCAGGCGTCTTCAGACTGTCAGACTGGTTCAGATTGTTTGTGTTGAATCTCAGCAGGAAGCCGACACCCACAGGACGCGGTTAGCTGAGCAGCGAAACCGTCCTGCAGCTGATGTGAGACGTCTGATGGTTTCTGCCGCAGTTCCAGGTGACGCGAATGAAGCCTGAAACGCTATGAAATCAGCATCGATGTGTGAAGAATAACGGTGAGAACGGTTTGTCTCCGTCTGACGGCATCCAGTTTCAGAACAGCTCAAAGGGGAAAGTTTCTGGTGAAGCACAGCTCAGCGCTTCATGAGCCTGTGAAGGAACCTGTTCAGTTCAAACGGGTCCCTGAGGTTGAACCATGTTAACGGTAAAGCTGACAAACACTGAGCCAAAAGTAACTGATTAGGTTATGAGTAAAACCAATAACGAGGTGAGTGAATGGTTCGTAAAACGACTGAACAGATAATGTTTTAACTACGTCAAAACTAATCAAATGAACAAGAAATAAATAGCCACGAACTTTCAGCTATTTCTAACTGAGTCGCCTCTTTATTAGTGTTCGCAGCTGTTTTTGCTGGTAGCTCACTTATGACTTCTAGATAACCACGTTATAATTACAATACTATTATTATTATTAAATCCATGTTGAACGTGTGGATGCAGTTGGTTCTTTAGTCCACAGAAACATTCCAGCAGCGTCTGTGAGCTGGTAAAGCAGGTTCCTTGGAAATCCCCAGATCTGTTCGAGGCTCTTCTGGTTCTGAGCCAACATGGCCGCTCCACAGCTCCACGTCCTCTTGACTGACTTTGGTGGTTCAGAGTCACATGGTAGACCCGTAGAGACACACTGGACATGTTGGACAGAGCAGGATCCGTGAAGGTCTGGGCCTCCTGGTTCCTTCGGTGCTCTCCTGGTTCTTGCTGCTGTGTTCTGCACCTGTCTGACAGCTGGATGGACTCTGATCTGCTTCTGTGTCACTGGATGTTCCTGAGTTTCACTTCTCCTTCTGTCACATTGTGTCTCATTGCAGATGACCTGCAGAAAATATCAAACCACAGACAGACGGAGGTCAACTTCTTCTTTCTGCCATCAGTCACAGACTGACGTCAGCCATCGCTGCCGGTAAAAACATGTTTTTATGATCTCAGTTTCAGACATCACATGTCTTTCTGCCTGGTGGAAACAAGACATCCAAAATTCTAGTTTCTCTCTTCGTTACACTTCATCTGTTGAACTGCCAACTAAATCTTTAAACACAGAAGTTTAGAAAACATGTACAACAAAAACACGATTGCTTTATAGTCAGTAGTCAGTCGTAGATATTTCATGCTGATATCTGACGGTTACAATCGGGGTTTCCAAAGACTAACGTTTGGAATTTAACAAAGTATATCTTCAAAAACAATTTTCTCAAAGCGAGCTTTTCCTGCTACTCTGGGATTTTAACAAAATCCCATTGTGTGAATATTTTTGGGACTTTTGTTAACATTCTTCAGATACTTTGTTCTGTTTTGACATTTTATCAACAATTTTCTGACATTTTGGAGACATTTAATTTGTGTGAAACAACTTTCATGTTTCAGTTCTGGAACTTTAAAGTGCTGTTGAGAGGGACGAGCTGCCTCAGCGCCTGGCTCCACGACCCCATAGCAAGGAAATGGATGGAACATTTATTAATCACACTGATATGTTATTCATATTTGTTGATGTTGTTCCAACATTTATTCATTTACTTTACATTTTGAGACATTTTTAAAATACTTACGGATATCTTTTGGCCTTTTTTTTCCTCTCCTACTCTGATTCAAACAACTAATAGTGAAATAATTGTCTTCAAGTCAGAAATCAGTTCGAGAGGTTTCATTATATCTGTGAGTTATATTAGTGGCTTCCTATAAGAACATCAAACCATTTCATTCAAGAACATTTTCTGTAATTTTTTCTTAAATTTAAATCTAAAAACAAAAACTGTTGAACAAAGCTCAGATTAAATCTGGACCAGAGTTCACCAGAAGACATGTGGAGACTCTGAAGACACCTGGAAGAAGGTTCTCTGGTCTGATGAGACCACAATGGAGCTTTTTGTTCATCAGAGTAGACACTATGTTTGGAGGACACCAAACACTGAACATCATCAC